CCATAACCCATCTCTCTAACCACCGCCCTAAGCCGTCGCCAGAAATCGCCTACGGCGGCGGCGACACCCCAAAGCCACCCAAACTTACCCCATACACTCTCCTCACCTCCTCGAACCTCACCCTACCAACCAAATACCCCAAAACCTCACCAATAATCATAGATCTTAGATCTAGGATCTCCGAAACCCTAGATCTATTTTTCAAAACCCTAAATCCAACCTAGTCCGTTTAATAATCCTCCTGCCAAGATCTCCCATCAAGGATCTCAGATCCTAGATGGGAGTCTTGGCATGAGGGTTTTTAGCTACTAGATCTATTTTTTTTTGTATATTTTATGTTATTTCCTGTTTTTCATCTTTATATTTTGTGTTTATTGTCGATTACTGTTCTTCTTTTTTATTTTTATTACTGTCTGATATTCTGTTTAAATCGTTTAATTAAATAAACTTAATTAAAAAAAATATATAAAATCAGTGCTTAAATATATTCTGTTTTTCTTAATTTTTATATTATTACGCGTTTTATTTTGTGTTGTTACTATTTTTTATTATTATTGTTTGTTATTTTCTTTACATTAATTAATTAATTAAACAAACTTAACTAAGATAAAGTAAAAAACAGTATTAGATTACTTTATTTTTCCTTTTTTGCTTTCTATTTATTTTATATTTATTAGTTCTGAGTTTATTTTTAGTATTATTGCTTTGTTGTTTATTTTGTTAAATTAATGGCCGTTATTTTTTACTGTTGTTTGGTTTGGTTAAGAACTGGGCCTCACTGAAGTGGCCCGTTCTACTTGGCTCATAAATAGGGCCTGTCTAAATAGACAGGCCCATAGCTTTGCAAAAAGCTTAAGATCCCAAGTCCTTAGGCCGATAACCAATCTGGTTTTGAGGTAATTCCAAGACCCTTAAGGGTAAGTTTTAGAGTCCTAATTCTGAAAATTATTCAGAAAATACTAGAAACTTCTAGAATAGGGACAACTGTCCCAATGGTGAGTAGGAAAATAGGGATAAGATCTAAAAATATCCAGAAATTGGACACTTGTCCCTTTTCTGAGATAAGGAAGGTACTAGAAATTGGACATCTGTCCATTTCTGTTAAGAAAGATGCCATTTTCCTAATTTATAGAGAATTCTGGCAGATTCTTTGGTACCCTAATTCTCATCCCTTTTCACTCCTTTACTCTATAAATACACTCTTCCCTTTTCACTATAGGGGGACACATTTAGACACACAATATACACACTGAAATGGCTACACACCTACACACACAAAAACACACAGAAATCTCTACACTACCTTAAGGTTTTCTCTTCATTTCCAAAAGAAAAACTTCTAAAGATCAATCTTGATTTTTCAGAGACAAAAATATACAATCTTTTCCTGTTTTCTTTTAAAAATCCGCCTGTTCTTCCTACCTTACTGGGTTTTATTGGTGCTGCTTTACTTCAAGTTTTCAGAGACTTATTTTCTTACTTATTTGTTTCTGCTGCTATCAAGGTACTTTCTTAAACAATGTAAATATTTAAATCTTGCTATATCCTGACTATGATTCGACTGGTTATCAAAAAATCTGTGTTCTGTTTGAATATTGCATAAAGTTGTTTGGTTGAGAGTGGTTAGTTATTTATACTGCTTGAGTCATTTAAATCATGGTAGCTTTATGTTAAAATGTCCTTAAAACTATAAAAACAACCTGTTTAAAGCTTTATATATATTCACAAAATCCGTATGTGCGTGTGTAATGCTTTTGAACTAAAATATGCATTGGGCTAGAGTCAATTAGACTCAAGCAGGCCCAAATTCTTCTGAACTGAACTCATTAGCTAGGCCCAATAACGAATAATATACGTCTGGAGCTAGAGTTCATTTAGACACATTCCTTATCAAGCCTCAAACTTTAAATATGGGCCTGCTTGACAGATAATACATAGGCTGCCCCCATCTAATACAAACAAACATATCACCTAATATTGGACCTTTATACTTAGGGGTGGTTTGGCAGGAGATATTAGAAAAAATAATGCAAGCATTAGCTCTATGCATTACTAATACCTTGTTTGATACATTTTTTCAACCCGTGTATAACTAATACTTGTATTAGTTATACATCATACTTGGTATTATCCTATGTATAAGTAATGCATAGAAAACTATGTCATTAGTAATACCAAGGCTACTAATGCATGCATTAGGTTGGTTAAAGATAAAATTATCCTTAAAGCTTGAGAATATGGAGGGCATTTTTTGTAAACAACTATTTTTCTTAAAAATTATGCAATACATTTTAATTTTAATACACCACACCAAACAGTAGATAAGGAATAATATCTGCATAACTAGTGCTTGCATTACTAACCCATGCATTATTAATCCATGCATTACTAATATACCTTATTCTGTACTATTCTTATACACCCTACCAAACGACCCCTTAACCATATGACATAGAGTATTTAGTTTAGAGATATAAGCATAACTTAAGGTATTTATAATCAACTTAATTATTACAATTATGTACACGCACGCATGATATAGTTGTGATGCCAAAAACAAACCAAGGTACATGTTCGCGTGACCATGGTCAAATAATCTTAGTAAATAAAATGCCTTAATTAAACACTCGTAGAAATGCTTTAGGCGCGGCTTTTAAACTACTATCGTGATTGCGTACATGTCCGCGTGACGTGATCCCGATATCCAAAATTAAGTCGAGGTATGCGTTCACGCAACTTCAGCCAAACAATCTTAATTAATAAAGCGCAATTAATTGTGTACACGTTCGCGTGATATGATTTTAGTGTCCCAAATAAAGCGGACTTACACACATGTTGTTTGTTTCAAAGATTAAATCCATAAACGCCATAATTAAAAGCTGTAAAAGGTAAAATGCACTTAGGTTTAAAATATGTAATTAAATAATTTAATTAAGTCAGGCATGATTAAAGCGACCGTGCTAAAACCACGGAACTCGAAAATGCCTAACACCTTCTCCTAGGTTAACAGAATTCCTTACCCAATCTTCTGGTTTCGCAGACTTTAAAACAGAGTCAAATATCTTCGATTTGGGATTTAAAATAAATCGGTGACTTGGGACACCATAAATTATCCCAAGTGACGACTCTGAAATTAAATAAATAATCTCATTTCGATTAATGTCACTTTAATTGAAAAAACTCCCCTATCCTCCATTTTCCTATCGGAAAAAAGGAGGTGTGACAACAAGTGACCAAAAAATAATTTGCAGTATTTTTTTCTTTCTTCAATCTTCAGCTAATTCAATTCTTGTTTATAAAATCAAATTCTCTTTTTTCTCTCCTTATTCTGCCAAATAACAAGGTTATTGAATAATTTGAGTTGCATAATCTTTTTTGTTCTTCCTCACGTTCTTCTCAAACTCTCAATTCAGATAAAAATATATAAAAAATTTATTGGATATATTTTAGGAGTCCATTACTCAAATGGTCACTCAACTATTCGAAATTACCTACTAAAGTCATCTTTCTTTCATTTGTAACAGCAAAGTCACTTAACTATGCCTATAGCACTGAGAAGGTCACTCAACTAGATTTCTTAAACTTTTAATTATCAAATACCTATTTTACCCTCTAAATTATCAACTTTTGTCTTCTTTTTATTTTTTAGAACTTTTTAATATTATGATTTTTTTATTTTATTAATTTATATTATGGACTTACCTATAGAATAAATAAATTTTATTTAAAAATTTAAAAAAGTAGTGTTTAAACATATATAATGTTTGAATAATAAAATATTGAGCATACTAAGAAAAATTAATAGAACAATTTATTCGCAATAATAATTTTGATATTAACAACAAAAACTCAAAAATTATTTACACAATTGAGAATGAAAAAAATAAAAGTTTTATAATATATATTCCATGCACGTAATATAAAAATAATTATTTAATATAAATGTATTTTTATAATATATATTATATAGTCTTAAAAGTTATGCTTAATTATATTATTATTCTAACATTATGTATGCTAGAAAACTAATTTTTTATTTTTATTTTATAGATTTAAAATTTATTTGTTTTATAGGTAAGTCCATAATGTATATAAAAAGAGAAAAAAATTATATTATTAAAAAAAAGGGATAAAAGTTGTTATTTTGAGGGTAAAATAAGTATTTGACAATTAAAAGTTTGAGAAATCTGGTTGAGTGACCTTCTTAGTGCTATAACCATAGTTAAGTGACTTTTCTGTTACAAATGAAAGAAATATGACTTTATATGATAATTTCAGATAATTGAGTGACCATTTAAGTAATTGACTCTATATCTTAGGCCTTTTATTAAGGTTTTGGTTTAGGCCACCGTATTGATTGAACCGCCTATGGGTTTTCGACTTGAAGAGCATCAACATTTCTTTTCTTCATTATGTTTCTTCCATATGGGTGACCGTGAGAGATTGAGAAGAGCCATATCTAATTGGTAGCTAGCAAGTCAGTGACTCAAAAGAACATCAATCAAACAGGAAAAAAAGGGAACAACTCTTAAGAATAAAAAAGTAAGCACCCCATGTTCATTACCAAAGAATTACTAGTTATTTGGCTACTACTTATGACATCAGAAATTAATGAGTTTAAAGTTGTGTGTATTAACATGAACGTACTGTCGCTCAAACGCTAAGTGGAAACTAAAAAATATTAAATTGATGCAGTTGCCATGTCATTGTAACTTATTTTAGATGAGAATATGGTGTTGTCGAAGCTGTCTGCAACAGGAGATGAAATGCTTGAATTTCGTGTCTCCAATAGGCTCCTGGTTGTCTTTTGTTGTTGATCAAACATCTTCTTCAATTGCTCGCCTTGTTCTTCTATCCTCATTTGTAGCTTCCGCTGAATCTAGTAATAAATAGCAAGACAATAGGATTACCTTGATCAGAATTCAAAGTGGATAATAAATTTATAAATATACCTCTAGTTGCTCGTGAAGACGCCTCTGGACTTCTAGCTGCATATTCAGTGCTTCCTTGATTTGCATCCCGCTGGAAAAGGAATCTGGAATAAGTTCATTGTCCAGCTAAAATAATCACCAATATTGGTTAGGACTTAGGAAAGTTGCAAAGGACATACGTTTTGCTGTTCATCTGTACATTCGCGCTATCGGTTTTTCCAGATTTCCCTGCATTATAGAAAGGAGGAGACTCTCATTTCTGAAAAGAGCTGGAAACTTTGAAACTAAGTATTTAGCATGTCATGGAAAAGTTGAGTACATCAGAGAGCATTTTTCACTAGCAATGGTAAAATTAACCCAAAAAAAAACAAAAAGGAAAGGAAAACTATGTAAGATTCTTTTTTAAGTTGGAAATGCCAAACAAGTAAGATGAAAATTATTGTTGTTTTGATCTTCTGAGGCTCCAAAGACCACAGCAGATTTTATGATTAGCATAATTGTACATGTAAAGGAAACAGTGTCTCCTAGTGTTTTCCATCATATTGGATCCACTTTGTTGCATAAATGGCCAAAAAAGAAAGGAAGAGAAGATTTTTAGAAGATGGTCTAGAAGAGCTTACCTTATGAAACTTATTGCTACTGGATTATATTAACATCTTTTTCTTTCAAGTTTCTGTCTATTGGATACAGAGCAGTTCATTTCCTTTCTGTTAAAGATACGAGGTACAAAAACTTATTTGCTTTCCCCTTTTTAGTAATTTAACTATGATCCTGTAGATCCCTGATTACAAGTACAGGAAGTTCTAAACATCAGCAAATTTTTAATAAGCATAGTGTTCTTCTTATTTTGGAAAATACATACCTTCTGCTGATTCAGGGATGTACTTTGCACTTCGATATTTCTACAATGGAATAGTCAACACAAGAAGAAAATATTTGCTTTAGAATTTTGTCAAAATACCAGAAGTTGTTCCAAGAAAGTACTATTTCTTTCATATTACAAGTACCTGCAGATGGCTTTTTACATGAAAAATGGTTAAGCCTTCTGAATCCATCAGCTTTAGTATTGCCTTTGGCGTTGCCTCTGGCAAATGAAGGGAAGAACAATTAATCCATAGCCAAAACTGATCACCTATGTGACACCCAGGCGAATCTCACATCGACAAAATACAGGAGATATGTTGGATGTATAAGAAAATAAGCCTTAGACCCTAATGATGTGTTTTGAAGCCGCACGGGTCTATGCCCAAAGCGGACAACATCACTAGTGGGTTGAGCTGTTACAATATGTTATAAGAGCCACTCCGCGTGCAACCTTGGGCACGAAAATGTGACACCCCAAGCGTTACAACCTCCAAGGAAACAAAAATAGAAAAGATAAGGGAAGTGTGAAATTACTTACTGTCAGCCCCTCCAAGACGATTTACACACTGAACAAATCGATCGTGGAGATGTTGAGTCCACCTGATTCGTGTCTTGTTGGATAATGATCCTCCAGAACATCCAGAGTTATTAACATTATTAGCTGATGGACTTCCAGATTGTTGCCTTGCATGTACCAAGTTAAAACCACAAACATTATTGGAGAGCTGCTGGAACATAACAAGAATCAGAATAGTGCTGTGATTCAAATCTTGAAAAAGCAATACTATTATGTAGACAACAATCAACTAAAAGTACTTACACCATAATCTTGATTTCCATGGACTGGCATTGAAGGTTGCTTGTTTGAAGAATCAAATTCTTTAAGAAACTTACTCTTAAGAAGCACTATCCTCTCTTTCTCCGATAGATTGCTGAAAGGATTTTCATAGGCTCCAAGGAGTTGACTACTTGAGAACTGTGATCTGACGAATGATGGCATTGAAATCTTGGGAAAATCTTTGTCAGCTCGCGCTAAGAAACCATTTTGACATTGTTGAGGATAAGATGGTAATTGAGGATCATTATTCTTGGACAGTTGAGAACTATTGTCTTGGTATTCATATTGTGTTAATCCCATATACCTCTCTGTGGCAAAAAAAGCTGAAGGTGGTGACCCGATTCGGGTTATGATTGTTCTTGATGATGAATCAGTATTAGGCCAAGATATCTGCTGCTGTTGTTGGCAGCAATTTTCTGCAGAAGTTCCTGGCTGAAAACAAAATTCCAAGCATGATGTAGATTTCAGTTGATCAATATTCTGTGGGAATTCTAAGCTGTAATCACTAGCAAATTCATACTTCTGATATGCATGAGTTTGTTCAGCCCTCTGGATACTCATTTTTCCCAAATGACTAGTCAAGAAATTACAATTTCTAGCAAAAGTATACACCAAAGACAGACGGATTCTGTTTTAATGTTTCAAGAAACAAACTGCATTTGAATCGATCGAAATTTCTGGTAGAATGTCTTGAGACAATTAGTCAAGAAAGTAATTAAGGATGAAGATTCAGTACTATTTAATTTCTGCAGGACTGCTCCAAGCTAATTTCTTTCTTATATGCTGAATGACACCATACACATGATATAAGAATATGAATATGTCAACATGTAAATGCCAACTATTTTAATATTCTGTAATATGGATAAGGAATGAATAAGCCTCTTTGACAAGACCAAGGCCAAATATATTTTTACTAGAAAAAAACAAATGTCCTACAAGGTGAACTATTACTTATATAACAGGATTTAAAGTATCCTCTTCCTTTGCTCACCAGTCTTCTTCTCAAACTATAAAATGAAAAGAGAAAAAGATACAAAATTTTCTTAAAAGGAGAGGAATATATGGCCTTATTAAATTTAAACAATTTCTTTTAGCATCAATTAGATGAAGGAAGAATATAGTTTATGGGTGCATCTGTCAACATAATAATTTCATGAGGAATGGCATATATTCAATAATAATACTCTATCAAGCTTAATTATTCTTAAATAGTAATGGGGATTGAATATTTGAAATTCTTCTGAGCCACAGTTAGATAATTCTATTGGTAGTAGTTGAATGGCCTGTAGTGGTTCATGTCTCGAACCTTCCGGGCAATAGTGTTTAACTTATATACATCATTAGTATTTATAAGTTTGTACACTACCAGTCACTGAAATGATATTTGCTGGGCTAAACTAGCCCTAATACACTCTTAACATGGTGTGATATTGTCCGTTTTGGGCCACACATCTTATATGTAGGCTCCCAATCTTTTGGGCTACCAATGTGGGACTTTGTTCGCACATCCAACAATCTTTCCCCTCGAACTAAGTTCCACGTGGCTTACTACCACGATTCACGGGTCTCCCCCTCGAACTAAGTTACATGCGACCCATTGATAGGATTCAAGTGTCAATTTTTGAGATTCACTGTATGCCACCCACATTGTCAGAGTATTACGGCAATTGAAGCCCGTAACTAGCTTCTTCTTGTGTGCGCACTGCCCCGCACCATCACTCTGCCATCTCTATACTCGTCCCACCGAACCTGGGCTCTGATACCAGTTGTTGGGCTCAACCAACCCAAAGATACTCGTAACATGGTGTGATATTTTACGCTTTGGGCCAAGCCCGTACGGTTTTTCCCAAAAGGCCCCACACCATTAAAAGATCCATATACTTTATATGTAGGCTCTCAATCATTTCAGCTACTAATGTGGGGCTTTGTTCGCACATCCAACAATATTTACAGGTAAACCTCCTTAAACTATGGAATTTATAATCTTAAAAATAAAACAAATACCCTGCTACGACTTATTGGTATAAAATTGCTTACACTAATATAAATTATTGATTCCTTTTATTTTGGGTCCTCCCTTTTATGAATTGTTTATATAAACCCGAAATATTAAGACGAGCCTTGAAACATTACACCTAGTGGCAGAATGAGAATTCTAACGAGGGGATTCAAATAATTCCAAAAATATCACACTTGAGATTTGAAACTAAACTTGGTATTTCTCTTATGTCAAGGGATTCAAATTATATTTATAACTTTTCCGGGAAAGCGATTCAGTTGAATTCCCGCATGTGGCGAGATCAGCAAGCTAGAACTGTGATCTGTTTAAAATTTGTACAAATTAAATACGAGTACTAGATCTACTACTATGACTACGGTAAAAAAGAGTTTAACTAACGTGTACCGAGAGCAAGTAGAGGCGGAGCCAGGATTTCAAACTTATGAGTTCGGGATTGTAACCCTTTTAAGTTACTGGGTTCTAAGTTAATAATTTGTATATATTTAATAAAAATTGCAAGAGAAATCCATGATTTGAACCAAAGCTACTGAGTTCGGCCGAACCCGTCCTCTCTTACCGAAAGTACAAGAAGACAATAAAAACCAATTACATGTAACTAACGGAAAGAATGATTGTAATCTGCAAAGGATGGTAAAATGAACGATTACAACAGGTGAAACTGCATTTATAAATTTAAATTAAAAAAAAAAAATTGCATGCATAAATACCAAGAGACCACCCAAAAGTGAAATCTCAGATTGATTCTCCACATAGTATCGACAAGAGCTAAAAAAACACCTTGTTTTCTCCTAATTAAGTGTTCCAATCTTGATTTAATTAGTAGCCGACATTTATAGTAATCTTCCACAGGCTATATAGTTTTTCTTTTTTCTTATTTATCAAAGCATCGCTTATTTATCTCAACACAATAAAATCATGCTCGTGAACCCATAAGTTATAAGCTATTTCTGCTTTTTCACTTATGTAATAGAGGTAACTTTTTTTGTTTTTGAAAAATAAAAAATCGAACTACTGGTTGTGTCACGATGTTTTAATAGCCATAAAAAGAAAAAAAATAAGCAACCTTGGGTTCTTTTAGAATATTTCTATTTGAAACATGTTTTCACATCCTTACCCCAATGATAATATTATGACATTACACACAAATATGCCTTCTGAATAATATTATACTAATTACTAGTATGGATTGAATAGCATGAGAAAGTATTGGTTTATTTTTTGCGCATTGACAAATTATAGAACTTCTGTTGTTTTTGATAATCAATTATCCTGTTTGGTGGAACTTTCATGATTACCATTCTGATTATGATGATTAATGGAATACTCAACCACAATTATCTGATATAGCACATTAATAATCCACATTCTAAAATTAAGTATTCATTTCAACTTTTATTATAGCTTAAACAATCTAAAGAGAACAATCAATTATTTGATCGTTATTAAATTTAGGTACGTACATTACCTCCACCTAGAGAGGAATATTACATACATCTCCCCCTCTAGTTTAGTATATTACTCCCTCCGTTTCAAATTAGATGAGTTACTTTCCTTTTTAGTCTGTTTCAAAATAAATAATACATTTCTAAATTTGAAAATAATTCAACTTTAAACTCTTCATTTCACCCATTTTACCCTTAATGAAAAAGTTTTATAACCATACAAATGTCATGGCCACGCAAATCTTTTACCCCTTAAGCTCTTAAAATCACAAGTTTTAAAATTTTTTTTTCCTTAAATTTCGTGCCGAATCAAATTACCTCATCTAAATTGAAACGGAATGAGTATTATATTACATTATAGCTCACTCTGATTAATAAATTTTAGTACCCATTGGCAGCTGATTAGTCCAACGAAAGTTAACTAGACGAGAACTCCTACGCTTCTCTACAATAATCACCGTATTTGTCTCTCCTCTTTGTTTCTCTAATCAACCCTTTATATGTGTGTGTATGCAAATTTTATTTTTACTTTGATTTTACTTTTTAAATAATCTTTGCGGGTTTTAACATTCTTGATATAGTGGCTAATATTTATATTTGTCTTTTATGTAATCAACCCAAAATTTTAATAGAAAAAGACAAATAATGGAAACGAAATCATAAATAGACACAAAATATGCAAGAAAAAAGAAATCTTCGTTGACTTTTATATTCCATTAGTGTTATATATTTCCTGTTCGGGGCAAAAGGAGCATGTTAAAATTGGTAAGCAATGATTAACTCGTCCACTTGGTGGATAGATCCATCCACATTTTTGGATGCTTATGGCATTAAAAGTTTATGAAAAGGACATTGTAATTTTTATTAATTTTATTTTTGGGAGAAAACAACTAATGATTAAACAAAAGGGTGTTACATGTGAAAAGGAAATGCATTTTTTGGATGAACATTACCAGCTATTTTGCCTCTTAAATTGTTCAAAGGCCACCTTATAGAAACCTTCAACACATTGGCCAGTTCGTATTCTTCAATAGGCAAATTAAATTATGCTACTTTTATGCTAAGTATATATTTGATACAAAAAAAAAGTATGGTTTCTGATTTTGCAGACAAAGAGGATTCTATTAAGAAACTTAGCTCAAAGTATAGTTACTTCTATCCTCTATTTATAATATTACATAAAGGTATACAAAAGAATGTCATAAACATGGCATTAAACATTTGAGATCATGGAGGAATATCATGGGGAGGTTATTGAGGTATGAGAGTTACAATCATAACTCCATAAGTATTGGAGTTGTGAGAGTTATGGAGATAATGGAGAAGAGGACATCCACCATTAGATAATTACTTATAACACTCCTCTTGGATATCCATAGATAATGTGTCTAATTAAAACGTTACTACAAAAAAAATTTGTGGGAAAAAATCTTAGTGAAGGAAAAAGAGTACACATATCTTGTAATACGCATTGTTTGTTGCCTCGCTAAAAACTTTGCTAGGAAAACCCAATGGAATAAAACCCCAGCTAAGGAAAAAGAGTGACGCGTATCTGTCATACCCTTTTTTACCCCAAAAGATATGTATTATGGATTGTTGTGGGTTAAAGAGTTTTTTCAATTAAAGTGACAAATTTGAGTAGGGATTATTTTATTTACAGAGTCGCCACTTGGAATCGATTTTTTAGGTGTTCCATGTCACCTTTTATTTGGATCCCTAGTAAAAGGAATGTTTGACTCTATTATTATTCGTCTACGAAAACAAAGTTCGGGTAAGGAATTCTGTTGACTGGGAAGAAGGTGTAAGGCATTCCCCGAGTTCCGTGGTTCTAGCACGGTCGCTTATTGACTATAGCTTGGCTTGAATTAATTTTGGATAAACTGTGATTTATTAGTTTTCATGTTTTATCTATCTGCTTTTAATTATTAAAATATGGAATTATCTTTGAAACGAATCACATGTGTGAATCCGTTTTGTTTATTGTGCCAAAATTATGTCACGCGCACATGTACACAATTAATAGCATTTTATTATATTAAGATTGTTTTGGCAAAAGTTGCGCGAACACATACTTCGGTTTTAATTTTAGAAATCACAATTATACCACGCGAATATATACATAATCGCGATAAACTAATTAAAAGCGCGCCTAAAGCACTCTAACAGTGTTCATTATTCTTCCTAAACTTTGAGATTATTGTAAGGTCATGAATTATGGAATTACTTGTGGAAGAAGTGTATGGTTTTAGATATTTGAATAAATAAACCATCATATACCAATACCCTACGACCCAACAATTGAATATCATATTTTCAGAAACATGATTAAGTATATAACATTTAAGGACTAATTTACATTATTATTTATAAAGTTTAAAGGCAAATAAATAAA